AAATGTGGTCCCCACTGTGTGAGAGGGGCCTGGTGGGAGGTATTTGGGTCAGGGGGTGGATCCCTCAAGAATAGATTAATGCCCTAGGTGACTGAGTTCTCACTTTATTCACCTCCCATAATAGTCGGTTGTTAAAAGAACCTGGAGCCCCCTCCCTCCCTCTCGCTCCTTCTCTAGCCAGTGCTTGGCGCACACTGGGTCTGCACATGCTGGATCTCCCGCATGGGAGTGACTTGAGGCCTCACCAGAAGCACATGCTGGTGCCTGCCGTGCTTCTTGTACAGCGTGCAGAACCGGAAGCCAGACAAACCTCTTTTCCATTCTTTTCTCTTTTGAGATGGAGTCTAGCTCTGTGGCCAGGCTGGAGTGAAGTGGCGTGATCTCGGCTCACTGCAACCTCCACCTTCCAGGTTCAAGCGATTCTCCCGCGTCAACCTCCCAAGTAGCTTGGAATACAGGCACGCGCCACCACACCCGGCTACCATTTTTTGTATTTTTAGTAGAGATGGGCTTCACCATGTTGGCCAGGATGGTGTTGATCTTCTGACTTTCTGATCTGCCCACCTTGGCCTCCCGAAATGCTGGGATTACAGGTGTGAGCCACCACTTCCAGCCTAAACTTCTTTTCGTTGTTAATGACCCAGCCTCAGGTATTTCCTTAGTATTTGCATTTATAAAAATGCAAAAAGGCTGAGATAAGGCTTAAAATCAATTGCTGCCTCAGCATCTGTTTTGCCTGTGGCCATTTAGCTAAGAGCCAAGTTCCCTCCTTGGTCCCCTGGGTCAGCAGATCTCCCTCCCACACTCCCTATCAGAAGACGGTGGGACCCTCTGGAGAATGTTTGCTGTGGGTGTCAGGCTCCGATTCTCTTGTCCCAGTTTCTCGGCCCCTTGGGGTAAACTGCCCAACCGTGTTCTCCCCTCAGATACTTACACCCCCATCCCTGGGCTCTCTCCGAGTCGCTGCGCACTCTCCACACCTCCCTGACCTCTGTGCATGTGTGTGTGAGTGATGGGTGTCTGAGGGTGCCATTACCCCCCCAGCACCTATAAGTGATACAGTCTTTATTTTCACGGTGTGTCTCTTCTAATGACTGAAGAAGTGCTCCACATCGTAAAGATCCTAAATTAAAACAGCCCCTAGACCCAACACCCGACATTATTAAAATTACTGATTCCACTCGACAGTTGTTAAGTATTTTGCTGATATAAATTGGCTAACATGCTCCATTCGGTGCCTATTTCAACACCCTTTCAATTACAATTTGCCTTCACCTCAGAGGACACAAACGAGCTTTGACAGCTTGCCCTCAGCAAGCTGCCACCACACAGTCTCTGCACACAAGATCTTGATCTCACCTTCCTCTGGAAACACACGTATGACAGGACACGGATCACATTCTCTTTCAAGGAGACTCGTCTGACAACCAAGCAACCCATCTTTCCAAACTCCCTGGTGGAAACTCACTCCCCTGCCATGCCTCTGGGAGACTCCAGCCTCAGATCGGATTGGGGGCATAGAACAGCCATCCTGACAGGTACGGAGTGACGTCTCATCCTGTGTTTAATTTACATGTCCCCGGCAGCTAACGCTGTTTAACTTTTCTCATCTGCTCACAAAAACATTTTCAGTTTGGAAAGGGAAACATGGCCAGCCAGGTGTAGTGACTCAACACCTGTAATCCCAGCACTTGGAGACGCCAGCATGGGAGGATCGCTTGAGCCCAGGACTTTGAGGCTGCAGTGAGCTATGATCATGCCACTGCACTCCAGCCTGGGTGAGAGCAGAAGACCTCCTCTCCAAAAAACAAACAAAAGAATTAAAAGGTAAACATCACAACTGGGCACGGTGGCTCACGCCTGTAATCCAGCACTTTGGAAAGCCGAGGCGAGTGGACCGCAAGGTCAGGAGTTCAAGACCAGCCTGGTCAAGATAGTGAAATCCCGTCTCTACTAAAAAAACACAAAATTTTCCAGCTACTTTGGAGGCAGAGGCAGGAAGTTGCAATGAGGCGAGATCGCGCCCTTGCGCTCTAGCCTGAGCGACAGTGAGACTCCATCTCCAAAAAAAAAAATAGAAGAAAAAAAGGGAAACATGAGATTTTTGTCTGCCTTTTAAGTGCGCACACAGAAAACAGGAGAAAACCAGGCTGGGAGCAATGGCTCACACCTGTAATCCCAGCACTTTGGGAGGCTGAAGCAGGTGGATCACTTGAGTCCAGGAGTTCAAGACCAGCCAGGGAAACATGGTGAAACCCCATCACAGCTAAAAATACAAAAATTAGCCGGGTGTGGTAGAGCAAGCACCTGTAGTCCCAGCTGCTCAGGAGGGTGAGGTGAGAGGATCACTTTAGCCTGGGAGTTCGAGGCTGCAGTGAGCTGTGAGCACCACTGCACTCCAGCCTGGGCAACAGTGAGATTCCCCCTCCTCAAAAAAACAGAAAACATGGAGGGAACCAAAGATGCTGCGAGGCTGTGAGTGGGTGGTGTGGAGGGGAGGCCAACAACCTCAGTCAAGGATGAGGGAGGCTGGGTGGCCCTGAAGAGAGGTGGGGGTGTCCTGGGGCCGCCCAAGCTGTCAACAATGTGCTGGAGGGATTGAGGTCCCGACAGCCAGGGATTGGAGGTTACTGCTCAAGAGGACAGAGGAGAGAGACAAGGTTATCATTCAGAGAAGGAGAGAGAGGGGCCTGTGGGCTGAAGAAGAATGAGGACATGACTGTCTGTTCAGTGCCAGAGGGAAGGGAAAGTGATTCGATTTTTTGTTTGTTTGTTTGTTTGTTTTGAGACGGAGTTTCGTTCTTGTTACCCAGGCTGGAGTGCAATGGCGCGATCTCGGCTCACCGCAACCTCCGCCTCCTGGGTTCAAGCAATTCTCCTGCCTCAGCCTCCTGAGTAGCTGGGATTACAGGCACGCGCCACCATGCCCAGCTAATTTTTTGTATTTTTAGTAGAGACGGGGTTTCACCATGTTGACCAGGATGGTCTCGATCTCTCGACCTCGTGATCCACCCGCCTCGGCCTCCCAAAGTGCTGGGATCACAGGCGTGAGCCGCCGCGCCCGGCCTGCGATTCGATTTTGTTGCCGCTCTGGTCTGAATGTTTGTGTCTCTGTAAAGTTCATGTGACGAAGCCCCAACCCCGAAGGAGAGGGGATTAGGAGGTAGGGCCTTTGAGAGAGGGTCAGATCATGAGGTTAAAGCCCTCAGAATTGGGATTAGTGCCCTTTTAACAGAGCCCCAGAGAGTTCCCTTGCCCTTTACACCCTGTGAGGTTACAGGGAGAAGGCACTACCTGTGAATGAGGCAACGGACCCTCACCAGACACTGGATCTGCTGGCACCTTGACCTGGGACTTCCCAGTCTCCAAACCGTGAGAAATACGTTTCTGTTTCCCCACCCCCCAGACGGAGTCTTGCTCTGCTGCCCAGGCTGGAGCGCAGTGGCATGATGCATCCTCTGCCTACCAGGTTCAAGCAATTCTCCTGCCTCGACCTCCCGAGTAGGTGGGATTACAGGTGCGTGCCACCGCGCCCAGCTAATTTTTGTATTTTTAGTAGAGACAGGGTTTAACCATGGTGGCCAGACTGGTCTCGAACTCCAGACCTCATGATCCGTCTGCCTCAGCCTTCCACAGTGCTGGGATTACAGGCATGAGCCACCTTGCCCAGAACTTCTGTGGTTTATGAACCATCTAAGCTGTGGCGTTTTGTTTTTGTTTTGAGTTAGGGTCTTACTCTAGAGTGTCAGCCAAGCTGCAGGGTAGAGACATGATCATAGCTTATTACAGCCTTGAACTCCTGGGCTCAAGTGATCCTCCCACCCCAGCCTCCAGAGTTACTAAGACCACAGGTGCATGCCCATACACTTGGCTAATTTTTTTTTTTTTTTTTAGACATGGGTCTTGGTATGTTGCCCAGGCTGCTCTTGAACTCCTGGGATCAAGTGGCTCTCGCACCTCAGCTTCCAGCGAGGACTCACTCAGAGTGCTGGGATTACAGGGATGAGCCATCACACCCAGTCATATTTTGTTACAGCACCCAGAATGGACTAAGACCATGGGAGAGACACGTGCCATCTTTCAGTCTGTTACTCGGCCGAGAGTGGGTCCTGGGCCTGGAACATTTCCTTACCAAGAGATCTAGGGGTCCTCACAGTTAGTGCTGGGCATAGCGCCCTGTGTAGGTCTCTGTTTCCCACTGTGTGCCCCTTGGTTCTGCTCAGGCATGTGCTTCACATGGCACCTAGACTGCCCCATTGTTAGGTCATGCTGACAGCCACATGGACGGATGGTGCTCTGGCTCTGCGAGCCAAACCTTGTTCCATCCATTGCGCAGCTGTGCATTGTTTCCCAATATCAAGATCCAGGGGCAGAAAGTGTTCAAACTCACAGCAGCCCTGATCATACATGCTATTCGCTGAGCGGTTCTCGTTTTTGTTCTTTTGTGATTTACCCATTACCACTGAATTTCTCATGCGCCTGCGTGGCCCGACCCGATTTTAATCTCTCCAGCCACACCAAGATCCTCTTTGCTCCCAACTGAGCCGGCCCCACCCGTCGCTCTGAGGTCTGCACAAGAGAGGGTCTAGCTGCTGGGGAGCCCCTGGCGGCGTTTCCTTCTGGTCCCGCCCAGAATCCTGGGTTAACTGAGAGGAGAGGATCAGGGGCAGTGCCTGGATTTTCTCAACACACCCAGCATCTGATGCAGGTGACACAGGAGGATGGGCCCTAACTGGACAGCTCAGAAAGGACTGGAGGGGCTGGGGTGAGGCCCAGAGGCGCACAGCGTACACACACCTGCACTCACTGCCCTTGCCCAGAACTGAGCCCAGGAAGTTTGGGGAACCTGTGGGATAGGCGAGGAGTTCAGAGGCCGGGTGTCCTGGGAGCGTTGGTGACAACCTCACACAGTCCTTGGATAGGGCGTCCTTGAGGCCGTCCCAGGAGCAGCACTCACACCCTGGGGTGCAGGAGCACGGAGCTGGGGGCCCCGGGCTCACCTGGGATGGTTCTCTCTGGGACCTTGGGCTCTTCCTGTCTTCCTCCTCACCGAAACTCCAGTCCTGGTGTTCGACCGAGTCCAGAGATACCAGAACTGTGCGGGAGAAAAGGGATCATGAGAGGGGCCTATTCTTCCCATAGCCCCCAATTCTACAGACCGACTTTCCCCAAACATCCCCACAGCACCCCTCAGTCTCAGGCAAGGGTGGCAGCAGGGCCGTCATTCTGTCCCTCCACGTGGCTGTCGGGCAGGAACCTGTGGTGACACCAAGGGCCGCTGAGGACAAGTACCCTCTTTACTCACAGTCCATCCTACTGTGGGCCTCCAGAAGCCCACGAGGGCACTCACTGCAGCACTGACTAACTAGGGAGGCCTGGATACCAAGAGCCCTCTGCTCCCCAAGCCCCCCGGGGTTGCTGTGCACAGACAGAATGACTGCTGAAGGAGGAAGCCGGTTACAGGACACTCAAGACATGGGAACCAGGCCGGGCACGGTGGCTCGAATCTGCAATCCCAGCACTTTGTGAGGCCACGGCAGGTGAACCACGAGGTCAGGAGTTTGAGACCAGCCTGACCAACATGGTGAAACCCCATCTCTACAAAAATACAAAAATTAGCCGGGTGTGGTGGCAGGCACCTGTCATACCAAGCTACTCAGGAGGCTGGGGCAGGAGAATCCCTTGAACCTTAGACGTGGAGGTTGCAGTGAGCCGAGATCACACCACTGACTCGAGCCTGGGTGACAGAGTAAGACTCCATCACACACACACACACACACACACACACAAAGACGTGGGAACCAGAAGCATGTACTGTTACGGATCCAGTAGGAAGAAATGTTCACAGACACAGATGCAATGAAAAATTCAAGGGGCCGGGCGCGGTGGCTCACGCCTGTAATCCCAGCACTTTGGGAGGCCAAGGCGGGTGGATCACGAGGTCAAGAGATCGAGACCATCCTGGTCAACATTGAAACCCCGTATCTACTAAAAACACAAAATAATTAGCTGAGCATGGTGGCGCGTGCCTGTAATCCCAGCTACTCAGGAAGCTGAGGCAGGAGAATTGCCTGAACCCAGGAGTCGGAGGTTGCGGTGAGCCGAAATCGCGCCATTGCACTCCGGCCTGGGTAACAAGAGCGAAACTCCGTCTCAAAAAAAAAAAAGAAAAATTCAAGGCCAGCCATCACGGTGGCCCACACCTGCAGTCCCAGCACTCTGGGAGTCCCAGGTAGGAGGATTGCTTGAGCCCAAGAATTTGAGGGCAGCCTGGACAACACGGCAAGACCCCCACCTGTAGTTTTTAATTAAAAAAAAAGAAAAATTCGGCCAGGCTCAGTGGCTCACACCTACAATCCCAGCACTTTGGGAGGCTGAGGCGGGCAGATTACCTGAGATCAGGAGTTCCAAGATCAGCCTGGCCAACAAGGTGAAACCCCGTCTATACTAAAAATACAAAAAAATTAGCTGGGCGTGGTGGCGCGTGCCTGTAATCCAGCTACTCTGGAGGCTGAGGCAGGAGAATTGCCTGAACCCAGGAGTCAGATGTTGCAATGAGCCAAGATTGTGCCATTGCACTCCAGCCTGGGCAACAAAAGCAAAACTCGGTCTCAAAACAAAGAAAAATTCAAGACCACAGCCACTTCTGGGGTGTCAGGCAGAGTGGGGAACAACATGACTGGGAGACACGAACTGGGGGTTCAGCCAACTCCACTGTTTTTTTTTTTTTTTTTTTTGGTGAGATGGAGTCTCGCTGTCTCCCAGGCTGCAGTGCAGCAGTGTGACCTTGGCTCATTGCATCCTCTGCCTCCCGGGTTCAAGCGATTGTCCTGCCTCAGCTTCTGGAGTAGCTGGGATGTATTGTAGGCATGCACCACCACACCCAGTTATTTTTTGTATTTTTTAGTAGAGATGGAGTTTCATCATCTCGGCCAGGCTAGTCTTGAACTGGCCTCAAGTAATCCCCCCGCCTCAGGCTTCCAAAGTACTGGGATTACAGGCATGAGCCACCGCGCCTCGGCGTCGGTATTTCTTTTAAAACAACGCCAAGCCAGCCTTTCCGGAGGTTAGGCTTTGATATGGCGGGGTGTCGGGTGCGGGGCTGTTCATTATACTTGCTTTACTATTTCGTAGGCTCAAAATACAGACCACCGCTATGGAAGACAAATCTCAGAGCCCTTTGCTCAAAAATGATGGAGAATTTTGAGAGTGACCATGTAGCATTAAACCTAGCGAGGGTGCCTCTGGGCTGGGATGGCTGTGAGGTCCACAGAGCACCAGCTTCTGGTGCTCTTGGGCCCTCTGCCCCAGGAGCAGGGAGTTCGAAGGTTAATTCATCTGGCTTCTGCCTTGGGGCTTACAGGACTACCATTGCACCGAGTTTTCCCCAAGCATGGCGCTGGCTGCCCTGGGGCAGTATGGAGACCCGCGAACTGCTTATCACTTAGTCTGCGGGAAAGCTGTAGTGGGAGCGGGCAGGAGAGCATGTGTTCTCCCTTGCTCCAGCCCCTTTTCTCTGAGCTCTGATCAGGCCCTTCTCACTCCCAGCCTTTGCTCCCGCAGCACAGCTGCCTGGTGCACCCTCCTCACCGAGGACCTGCTGGGGAAGCCCTCCCTTGTCCACAGCGCCACGACCACTCTCACCACCTATGGCTGCCTCCTTTGGCCTCCCAGTGTGCAATCCCTCCACTTCCGTCACTAGAAGAGCCCCACTCACGGAACTGGGCTCTGGGTGGATGGAATCTCGGTGTGGGGGTCACAGGGGCAAAGATGCAGGAGGACAAAGCCCTCTCAGGGGAAGGGGGAGCTGAGAGAGGGAGGGAGCCCAGTTTCCACCCCAAATTCCCCAGCTCTCAGAGTCGGGGTGCAGACGTAAGCCTCTCCACACCATCAGCGAGTGATTCCTCAGTGTTGCAGGAGGCGCTGCAGGTGGCTGGGAGGACTTGGCGGGGTAGGGTCCCTCCCAGAGAGCAGCTGGTGAGGAGCAGCAGACACAAAGCCACAGGACAGATGGACACATGGGAAATGGAGGGATCTTTAATAACTGACTGAGTGAGAAATTTGAGGCAGATGAGACGTGCAGCACGACATTTATATGTAAAAATAATTAAAAACACAGGCGCGGGGCAGGAGAGGTTTGCTGGTCGGGAGGGGCCAGGCAGGGGTGGGAGCGACGCGGGCGGGAAGGAGGGCGGTTCGGTCCTCGGAGACGTCAGGCCCCCTCGCCCTTCCCGGGGCACCGAGCCTGCGCCTCTCACCTTCCTGCTGGCACATCTGTGTGAGGTCCTCCACCAGGCTGGCCGCCTCCCTGCAGTTTCGGGGGCCCTGTGACTGCACCCAGGTCCGCATCTTGCTGGGCAGCGCGCCCAGGAACTGCTCCAGCACCAGCAGCTCCAGCATCTGTTCCTTCGAGCGCGCCTCGGGCCTCAGCCACTGGCGGCAAAGCGACCAGAGCTGGCCCAGAGCGAGGTGCGGCCCGCCCGCCACATGGTACTGGAACTGTCGGAACCGCAGACGCTGGGCTTCGGTGTCCCTGGGGTTTGCTGGCCCATGGTCCCCGTCCTGCTCACTCGGGGTTGGGGTCTGGGGACGTCTGGGGGAGGCAGGGGCTTTGGGCCGTGGGAGCATTTCTCTGGTCAGAGTGCCCTCTGAAGGGTCTGTGTGGACTGGATCCCAAGAGTCTCAGTGGCTCCAGACAGAGCCGGTGTGGCAGGTGGGCGGAGTCAGCAATCAGGGGCCTGCAGAGAGGGGCAGGGACAGAGGGGCCACATCAGATGGTGGCCCTCCCTGCTCAGGATGCCCCTCAGCTCCTCACTTCCTAGTCCTGGCCTCCAGCACCCCAAGGAACTAACCTGACTTTTTCCCACCTCCTGACCTCCTCTTCCACATGCCTCTCAAAGGCTACTCTGCGCTGAATTCAAGCCACTGGCTGCCTGAGGACCTTTGCACCGGCCATCAAACCCCAGCCCCTCCCCTCCCAGATGTCCCGGCCGGCTTCCACCCCCCCCAGGCCTTTCTGAACACATCTTTTTTCCTTAGAGTCTATCTCCCTCTCATCTAGTCATTCAACACTCATCGACTGACGAGCTGCGGGAGCTCCACTGGCTGCCCCCGTGGAGTAGCCAGCGCTGCGCAACAGAAGCTCCGACAGGGATGCAGACATTCTCCACCCATGCAGCCACCTACACGTGGCTGGGAGCACCTGAAATAAGGAACTGAACTTTAAATTTAAATGGAAGCAGCCAGGTGGGCTACATAATAATGAATGGCGGTGGCGGTGACGGCGGCAGCAGCAGTCTCTGCCCATGGTATCTTTGCTGCCTTCATGCTTTTCCTACCAACTCCAAGCTGGTAGAGGAGGGCAGGAAGAGGGCAAGGGAGACTGGAGACTGAAAAGACACGGAGAGTAGAGGGCAATGAAAAAATACCCTCTTGTGGCCGGGTGCAGTGGCTCACGCACTTTGGAAGGCTGAGTGAGGCAGGTGGATCACCTGAGGTCAGGAGTTCGGGACCAGCTTGGCTGACATGGTGAAACCATGTCTCTACTAGAAATACAAAAATTAGCTGGGCGTGGTGGCACGTGCCTGTAATCCCAGCTACTCGGGAGGCTGAGACAGGAGAATCGCTTGAACCCGGAGGAAGAGGTTGCAGCAAGCAGAGATTCTGTCACTGCACTCCAGCCTGAGCGACAAAGTGAGTCTCTGTCTCAAAAACAAAAACACCTTTTGTACATTTCCAAGCCTACTATGGTGAATATATAACTGAAGAAAACATTAAACGTTATAAAAATAAACGGAGGTTTTGGTTGTTTGTCTTTAACAACTGTACTCTGGGCTGATCTGCTGGTGAGAATAGAAATTGGCATGACCTTTCTGGAAAGCACTATGGACACTTATATATGAAGGACACTTGGGAGATTGCATGCAGGATGCAAGATTCACTATAAAAGTGCCCAGCTGTTGAACGTGGTGGGATCAAGTACCTCCCCCACCATGTGATGGGGGGTGTTCCATGTGCACAACACACACCATGACATGACCACAGGGAGTATACACATGATGTTCAGATGACATGAGGCACAGAGAACACGGGATGCGGGATGATGCATGAGTGTCCTAGAAAGCGGGTGCTGGGCAGAGGCCCACAGGGGGCCAGCCAAGTGCTTTGTGTTCTTCATACTTCTCTGAATGTCCTCCAAATGGTGTCAGGATCCCATGTGACCTTCATCAACATGGAAAAACAAAACAGAACAAGAAATCTTTAGGAAGGATTTGTAACTACAAGGGAAATGCTGATGACAAGTGAAAAGGAGAGATTCCATGGGATTTTCCCTCTTCATCCTCTGCTGCATTCTTCGTACCCTCTACAGGTCTTGTGCATGGGTTTTACAATCCAGGAGAAAGGAGAGGTGCAGGGTGGCAGAAAAGGCAACTCACCAGGCCTGTGCCCCACCAGCAATCTTCGAGTCTCGTACCCGGCCACCTGCACCCTGATTGGGAGACTACAGCTTGGTCTCTCCTGCCGAGACCACAGGCAAATATAGTCTCTTACATTGTATTCACACTTTTATATATGTACTTTTGAATAAGGAAAAAGGGCCTATTTTGAAGCTCCACAGGTCCAAGAAGTCCCTTTGCCCTGGGGCCTCAGTCCTTATACTCTCTCAGGTGCTCATGGCAGCTCACCATGGAGATTCCAGGGAGCGCTGTAGCCCCTCCGCATCTTCCATGGTCCTGGGCTGAGGTCTGTGAGAGGGGAGGCTAAGTTTATCGGGGATGAGGGTAAAGAGGAGTTCTTAGCAGAGGGCACAAGAGTCCGCAGCTGTGTCTGCGGTCTGTATGGGAAAACTCGGGCGTGCCTGAGCTCACGAGGGTCCTGGACTGATGGTGGAGGCCGTTTCTGGAAGATGAAGAGGGCCTGGGATGATGCGGAGGGTCCTGAGGTCTACATAGCTGGTAAGAAGGATCTGGACCCCCCCATGGGCAATGCTGTGGTGGCCCCGGGGTCCTAGAGGTCTACTTCGGTAGGGGTCTGGGATTAGTGTTGGGAATGTGTGAGAGTGTCACTTGGAGGGCTGAGTGCCTGGTGGAAGTGCCTGGTTCACTCGGCAGGAGCACTGCGATCTGCAGCCCAGGCCCCAAATTCTACTAGGGGGATGGGATGGGCGGAAGGGCTTTGCCGTGGATGCCGGATGCTTATTGACATGGTGGACGTGTTCCCTGCGCCAGTCAGTGAATGGCTCTGGCTCTGAGAAGGGGGCTTACAATGCCACACAGGGGAGCTCCATAATCAATGGGCAGAGCACTAGGAATACGGGGGAGGGGCAGGGACGGAGACTCAGGTTGGGGGTCGGCTGGGGGGATGGGCTGGTTGGGTGGGGGATGGGTCGGGGGAGATGGGTCCAGGGCGGCTGTTCGGGTAGGAGATGGGTTCGCGGCGGCTGGTTGGAAGGGAGATGGGTTCGGGGGCAGCTGGTCAGGAGGGAGACGGGATGGGGGTGGCTGGTCGGGAGGGAGATGGGTCCTGGGATGCAGATCAGGTGCTGAAGGGAGAACTTGAACGCGGCCGAGCGGGGTCTAGGCGGGCAATGGGGGTGCGTAGAGGGGCTTCTGCCGCAAAGTGACAGGCGGATGCCAACGGGGATCGAGGTCCCCGCGGAAGGGGCGGCCCCAGCACCCCAAACCCCCTCCCTGCGTGGGCTGTAGCCTTCCCCTTCCCTCCCCCACAGCGACCTCCCGACTCCCGACGGACTCTGGAACCCCGGCCCGGCCCGCCCCCGCCCCGACCAGCCTCCCCCGACTCGCGCCCCGGGACCGCGATCTCGGGCCAGCTCCCGCCGACGCGGCGCCGCGCCCCTCCGGGAGATGGGCGCTTTGGCGGGTGGAGGAACGGATGGGCCGCGGCGGACTCACCGCGCGCGGGCTCCGCTCCGGCCTGGGACGCTCAGTGATGGCGACCCCTGGGCTGGCGAGCGCGCCCAGCGCCGCGGGCGGACCCCCTCCCGGCACCCCGCGCGCCGCGGGCGGCCGCCATTGGTCCGCTGGGGCGAGCCGCGCGTTAGCGTCACGTCACGCGTAGCGGGACTCCCGGGCAGGGGCGGGGCTGTGACGCACTAGGCGGCCGTGGCCAATCGGATGCCGCCTGGGATGAGCGCCCCGCCTTCGCCGCGCCCTCCAGTAACCTCCCGCTCCGGCTCGTGTCGCCTTGGCAACTGGTCGCGCGGCTTCCAGGGCACTTCTGAGGGGAGCCGAGAAGGGGCCGCCTGCGGGGATGCGCAAGTACGAGGCGGCCGCTGAGCAAAACGCAGGCGTTCCACACACGCCATGATCCTTTATTTATGACGGAGTTTCGCTCTTGTTGCCCAGGCTGGAGTGCAATGGCGCCATCTCGGCTCACCGCAACCTCCGCCTCCTGGGTTCAGGCAATTCTCCTGCCTCAGCCTCCTGAGTAGCTGGGATTACAGGCACGCACCACCATGCCCAGCTAATTTTTTTGTATTTTTAGTAGAGACGGGGTTTCACCATGTTGACCAGGATGGTCTCGATCTCTTGACCTCGTGCACCACCCGCCTCGGCCTCCCAAAGTGCTGGGATTACAGGCTTGAGCCACCGCGCCCGGCCGAAACAGTGTTTTTAATGTAAATACGTTTAGTACAAGTATGTCCCAGAATAGGATCGCCAGACTTAGCAAGTAAAAATACAGGACGTCCAGCTAGACTTGAATTAAGGAGAAGAGTGAATTTATTTTTAGTATTACTGTTTCATATTTAGGGTATTTAAAAAGCTTCTGGATATAAATACATGAGTGTAAGTGATTTCCACTGTAATTATGTCCCATAGTATCATAGTAGCATTGCCCGATTTAGTAAGCAAAAAATAAAGCTCAGTTATATGTAAACTCAAGAAAAACAAGGACGCTGGGCGCGGTGGCCCATGCCTGTAATCCCAGCACTTGGGAGGCTGAGGTGGGTGGATCATCTGAGGTTGGGGGTTGTGAGACCAGCCTGGCCAACATGGTGAAACCCCCGTCTCTACTGAAAACACAAAAAGTAGCCAGGCATGGTGGTGCGCCCCAGTAATGCCAAGGCAAGATAATCGCTTACTGGGAAGCAAAGGTTGCACTGAGCCGAGATCATACCACTGCACTCTAGCCTGGGCAACAGAGTGAGACTCTGTCTCTAAATATAAAAATAAAAAGGAATACATTTTTAGTATCAATGTGTTCTATATTTTACATGCTTTAAACAAACATAATGTAAGTACATTGCATGTAAATAATTTTTTCCCAAATGCTCCCTCTTTAGAAGGAGTGATAATTTTTTTTTTTTTTTTTTGAGACGGAGTTTCCGTCTTGTACACAAGCTGGAGTGCAATGGCGCGATCTCGGCTCACGGCAACCTCTGCCTCCTGGGTTCAGGCAGTTCTCCTGCCTCAGCCTCCTGAGTAGCTGGGATTACAGGCACACGCCACCATGCCCAGCTAATTTTTTGTATTTTTAGTAGAGACGGGGTTTCACCATGTTGACCAGGATGGTCTCGATCTCTTGACCTCTTGCTCCACCCGCCTCGGCCTCCCAAAGTGCTTGGATTACAGGCTTCAGCCACTGTGCCTCGCCTATATTTCACATACTTTAAACAGACATTATATAAGTACATTGCATGTAAATAATTTTCCCCAAATGCTCCCTCTTTAGAAGGAGTGATAATTTTTAATATTAATATGTCTACAGTATAACCATGTGCCAGAATGAGGTTGCCATATTTAGCAAATAATATAGAACAATAGTTACATTTGAATGTCAGATAAATGATGAATAATGTTCTAGTGTAAACATGTCCCAGGCCTGGTGGTGGCTCATGCCTGTAATCCTAGCACTTTGAGAGGCCGAGGCAGGACAGGAAGATCACGTGAGCCCAGGAGTTGGAGGCAGTCTGGGCAACATGGAAAGACTCCATCTTGACAAAAAATACAAAAATGACCCTCAGGTGGTGGTGCACATGTGTGGTGCCAGTTAGGAGGCTGAGGTGGGAGGATCACTTGAGACCGAGAAATTGAGGCTGCAGTGAGCCGTGTACACAGTACTGCAGCCTGGGTGACAAAGTGAGACCCTGTCTGAAAAACAAAACAAAAATATGTTTTGTTGTGAACTGAACTCGAGCCCGGGAATCTTGTCCAGCGAGAGGGTCCGAAACCTGGAAGAGAGCGCGCGCCGGAAAAAAGGAGATAAAAAAGGCGAGGTCTGGAGGGCTACATGCGCTATGCTCATGCAGCAATTTTATTTTTGCAATGTGTTTCATTATATACTTTTCTGAAGTTAAAGTTGTTTACACCAGATTAATGTACTTAAGTTACAGTAAGCAAGTTAAGCCCAGTAAGTAAGTTAAGCCCAGTAAGTAGGCTACGCCCAGTAAGTAGGTTATGCCCAATAGGTCAAGGTAAGTAAATTACAATCACGCCCTGTAAGCTATGGTAAATAAGTTACAGTTACGCCCTGTAAGTTACGGTAAGTAAGTTACCAAGTGTAAATATTTAAGTTAATATATTGCAATGAAGGTAACAGTCCAAAATGAACACAATGAGACAATAAACCATAAGAAGCCAAAAGTAGACACAATGCCTCCCAAGTTCTCATATCCATAAAGTAATGTCTGTTGATTATTTTGAATAACATATAGTTCCTCTTTCGGTTCCTGCTTTCCCTCAGCTCTACTCCACCAACCGGGGATCTGTGTCGGGGCTCAAGCTCACCGTATGGCGAGGCCCATTTCCTAGGGGCCTCACACCGGAGCGATCCCCACAGGTCTCCCTTAATGTTTCAACAGTGTATTTGAGGCACCCTTGTACTAAATATTAAATACTAACAGCATATCTTATAATTATATCACAACACGTATTTGGAACATACTTATACCGAATTTTTTTTTTTTTTTTTTTTTTTTTTGAGAAGGAGTTTCGCTCTTGTTACCCAGGCTGGAGTGCAATGGTGCTATCTCCGCTCACTGCAACCTCTGCCGCCTGGGTTCAAGCAATTCTCCTGCCTCAGCCCCCTGAGTAGCTGGGATTACAGGCACGCGCCACCATGCCCAGCTAATTTTTTGTATTTTTAGTAGAGACGGGGTTTCACCATGTTGACCAGGATGGTCTCAATCTCTTGACTTCATGATCCACCTGCCTCGGCCTCCCAAAGTGCTGGGATTACAGGCTGGAGCCACCGCGCCCGGTGAATTCTTTTTTATTTTATGTCCTCATATGCAAAATACATTCAACTTATACTGAATTCTAATGCCAAATTATCTTCTAAATATGAATGGTATATTATAAGTACATTCCAATAGTGTATTTGAGAATAGACTAAAAAAATATTCATTTCGTATTTGAAAATCAGATGGGGGTGAGATCATGATGCAAGGAGGGTCCTCAGCTCTGGGACTGAGCTCAGGGTAGCTGAAGCTGCCCATTGCTGAAGAGGAAGCAGGAGTATGTGAGCTAAGGAAGGAAAGAAGGGACCCGAGCCTGAGCACCATGCCTCTGCTGAAGAGCTGGTTATTGAGGGTCTCTGTGTACCAGGCACTGTTCTGGACACTGGGGTGGAAGCACATCAGTGAGAAGGACTGATACGGTGTTAGCCCCTTGGAAGCCCATGTTCAGGGGGCACTTACCAGTAAACAAAGAAGATGCTTCCTGGAAATATAAATACCTAGAAGGAAATACAAAGGGGTCTGGAGATTGAAAGTCCCAGGAGTGATAGCTGGGTGTGGTGGCTCACACCTGTACTCCCAGCACTTTGGGAGGCTGAGGCGGGTGGATCACTTGAGGTCAGCAGTTCAAGACCAGCCTGGTCAGGCCGGGCGCGGTGGCTCACGCTTGTAATCCAAGCACTTTGGAGGCCAAAGCGGGCGGATCACCTGAGGTCAGGAGTTCAAGACCAGCCTAACCAACACGGTGAAACCCCGTCTTTAAAAAAAGACCAGCCTGGCCAACATGGTGAAATCCTGTCTCTACTAAAAATACAAAAAATTAACCAGGCGTGGTGTGCATGCTTGTGATCCCAGCTACTTTGGAGGTTGAGATGGGAGAATCACTTGAACCCAGGAGGTGGAGGTTGCAGTCAGCCATGATCGTGCCACTGCACTCCAGCCTGGGCAAGAGACCAAGACTTTATCTCAAAAAAAAAAAAAAAAAAAAAAAGTCCCAGGAGTGTCAGTGAGGGGCTGCCTCAGCTGGATAATCACAGCCATGCCGCTGCATCTTCTCCTGCTGGCAGCTGGTCCCTAGAGTGTTGTGTGTGAATGACACTATGGAGAAACCACTATGGGAAAACCAAAGGAGGGTGCTAAGGGCTATTATTCCCCTTCTTGAAAATTAGGCACTTGTAATGACATGGTTCATATTCTTGGTAGCAGAAGTTGGCCTGGTCCTTTGGGGCAGCAAAGGCTCATATGTGCATTTATAACTGCTACCCACTTGGGAAACCTCCCTTGAGAGAACACTTAGTCTGTGTCTAGCGTCAGGATCAAAGACACCGTCACAGGCCACCTGAACTCTAGATCCATTGGGAGGCAGCCTGGCATCCAGGGTGTCCAGCAGAGGTTTCAATTTTTTTTTTTTTTTTTTTTTTTTTTGAGGCACAGTCTTACTTTTGCTACCCAGGCTGGAGTCCAATGGTACAATTTCAGCTTACTGCAATCTCTGCCTCTCGGGCTCCAGTGATTCTCATGCCTCGGCCTCCAATGTAGCTGGGATTACAGGAGCCAACCAGCACGTTCAGCTAATTTTTTGTATTTTTTAGTAAAGACAGGGTTTCACCATGTTGGCCAGGCTGGTCTTGAACTCCTGATGTCAAGTGATCCACCCTCCTCGGCCTCCCAAAGTGCTGGGATTACAGGTGTGAGCCACTGTACCCGGCC